TCCTAAACACACACACACACACCTACACATCTCCCACCATGTGACCTCTAATCACAACCCCAGAGCTTGGACATCAAATGAAGCAAGTTAAAAAAAAATCATCAGGAGTAATTAACACATTTTCATATGCAAATGTGATTAATGCTAAACTACAAAGTCATTATGCAAATCGACTTTTCCTTGAGCCTCTGTACAAATATTCGCAGCTCAAATCAGGGGATCAGTCTCGCCATCTTTCTTTTTTTATCTCTCACCCCTCTCCCTTTCCCCTCTCTCTCTCTCTATCGCTCCCTCACTTGGAGTGGAGATAATGCGTAAGTAGCATGTGAAGTTATTTTGAACTCACGCGGCGTGTGTGTGTGTGTGTGTGTTTTCATGCGATGGGCCGGGGCTATGGCATTACGCCGCCTGCCTACTGATTACTGGCTGCTTGGCACTGGAGCGAGACAGGGAAGCCGGTGAACAGGGGACGGTATGAATATGCAAAAGCCTGATTGCTTTTCATGATTAAAGCCTATTTAATATGGAAATGAGAGCAAGCCAGGTGATTAAAGGAGCATTGGGCGGTGGGGGCAATAAAAAAAAGGAAGAAGAAGAGGGGAAGAAAGAGGACACCTTCAAGTCCTCACAAGGAATGGACGGGTAGGATCTGGACCCATCATTTGGTGACAGCAGCAGCTGAGCTCCAGGTTTCCTCTCCCCTGGCTGCAAAAGGTTCGTTCGGAGAGAGGTTCTATAGGTTCCGCTGCAACGTTTTCATCCAGAAACCACAGTGACTCATTTAAAGTGAAAAACAGATTCCTCTCTGCCCATTAGCTTGAGAGTCAAACCTGATCTTATCGCGCCAAAATGCTCCTTTGCACACTTTCACACCCGCAGAAATTTCCTGCATGCGAGTGTGACCGTTCTTAAGTGGCGTTTAACTTATTTGAATGCTTTGATCAGAAGTGCCACTTTGGTTCAGTTGAACACAGGTGGATCAGCAAAGCACGGTGAAGTTTGCAAGAAGCCTGACAAACCAGAGCAAAAAAGCTTCAAACCGCAAAGAAAAAAAAAACAACAAGACAATGATACGATCACAGGTGGACGGAGAGCAAAACGGAGAGAGATGTTTTTCACATCGTCTCATGAAAGATTCACCAGACTAGGAAACAGAAGAAAAACGAAGAAGCGACTTCGCACCACGCCATAAAAGCGCTCCACAGTCGCCCTGGGAGGAGTTCAAAGCACGGCCAGGGTCGCCTGAGTCGACGGCGATGCTCCCCGAGCGACAACCTCTCGCCTGCGCAATGACACGCATCATTCTTCACAGACACTTCATACACAAATTCATACAAGACGCGCGCACACGCCGACAAATCTGACGCATATACGCTCAGAGTGCATGCATCAGCAGGAGGATCTCAGGAAGAAAAAATAAATAAATAAATAACAAGGCAGGAGAGGAGGCCGTTTTTCATCGACTGTGCGATGTGTGTGTAAGAGTTTCACATGTGGTGGTGTGTTTGTGTGAGCGCGTGCTTGCAGCCTTTTTGGGGTTGAATCTGCTGGCCTTGCAGCTTGTTTGCAGTTTAAGCAAGAAGGCTGACAGACAAAGAGGCCCGACAGGATGTTATAAAACACAGGCAGGTGAAGAAAAAAAAAAGGGAGTTAAGCACATGTTGTACATACAGCACAAACATGTTGTGGATTATTAAGGGGCTGTGAGGCATTAAAGCCCCCTTATAACTGTTCTGTTCACAATTTTCTTGACCCGCATTTGAAAAAAAAATCTAATCGTGCTGCTCGATTGTACAACAATGACAAAATTTGCAAAAAAACAAAAAAAAAACAACATAAAAATATGAAACTTTTTCCTCAAGTGAGGAAACCCAGTTATCCCAGCTCTATGCTTTAAAATAGAAACAATTAAATTAAACCAGTCACACAAAACGTTTTGTGATTTGGGGGGATTTTACCACCCAATTTAGAGTGCGATGATGTAACACACTAACTTTTAAGTTGTCTAAACTTCACTAAAACTCCTCCTAGTCCCAATTCTTTCAGCACATGTAAAAATTGTTGATCAGTACGAAGACATTTTTGTCTTTTTCGATCCGCTGTCTCTCTCTTCGCTGCAGGCTTTCAGCTCAAATTCCCCTCAGAGTGCAGAGAGTGCACGGCCACAGGTTTTAGATATATCAAAATGTTCTCTTCACAACTGGAAATGAAGGGTTTTTTTTAACTTGTCAAATCTCTTACATCAAACTGCAAAAGCATAAAAAAACCACCACCAGTTTTCTGACGGTCTTCACTCAGGAGTTGTTTGAGGTTCACTTTTTAGTCTGCATTTTCTGTCTGCCTCTCTTTAACTTGGCCGTCACAAACAGTCACAGGTGTGCGGTTGCACGCAGCCATAACGAGCCACTGGCTGAAGCTCTTATTTATTTAAATCTACGTTTTCTTTACACTTCTTGCACAGTTTACACATCCAGATGTGGACATTTTTTTTCTTCGCCTAATTTTAGAAAAACTGATGTTGGAATATTTGGGCAGTAGCTGCGCTGGCACTCTCCTAAAATGACTAAAGCGATTTTCTAGTTAGTGCGCGCGCATGTAAACTTTGGTGCTTGTGGCTTTCTTCACTTCTTTGCAAATATTTTTATATTTGGTGGTGCGCCTCAAAAGCTCCTAAATACCAGATGCAATCAAAAAAAATGTATTCCCTCTGAACGTGTGTGTGTGTGTGTGTGCGCGCGTGTGTGTGGGTGTGTGTGTGTGTGTGTGTTTTCATGCGATGGGC